CACAGTCCCTTTCCCTCTCTGGATCCAAAGTCTCCAGCTGCTTCATTACTCCATGTCATCGTCTCTGTCTCCATCTCAGGCATCTCTGTTTCTCTGGGTAGGGTCCTGCTCTCGGCTCTTCTCCGTTGATGGTCCCAGAGACCTCCGGTCCTAGCCTGTAGAATTAATCACTCCCTTCCTTGTTCCAAAACGTCTACCTTTGCATTTCCAACCCTCATAATCCGTCCCGATAAGCATTATTCACTACAGTATCACGAGTTACCCATCTGTATTTCCTTTCATCAGGCCCGCCCAGACAGATTGAATAGTACCAACTAGAGATTCTGCCTTCCTCCATGCTCCCTAGCACTAGGTTCCCCCTTGAAAGCTTGTAAGCCAGTCACTTCTTGCCTTTGTAGTCCCCTCCTCCCCATTTGAGTATCCAATGTCCAAGTTGCCCATCTCTGTCCACTCTGTATGTGGAGGGGGTGGGAATGATTCTTGCTGTAAGGATTTGTTCCTTCTTTTGAGTTGCTGCTCCATAGGTATAGGTCAAGTTCATCAGATTGTATTAGCTCTCTCTCTCTCTCTCTTTTTTTTTTTCTCCCCTCTTCTTTCTTCTCCTGGCTAAGCTCCGATCATCCAGTCATCCAGTCCAGGTCATGTGGGTATCATCTGCAAGTGTGCATATACCCTCTCTTCCCGTCAGCCAGTAGCTCCACTCTCCTCTGGAGTTCTCCGTGGCCACGCCACTGACTTTGGGCCCAAGACTCCCCAGGTCTCCTCACACGGCTTGCCATCTAGGTCCCCAACTGGGTCCACAGACCCCCATGCTTATTTTAAACACTTTCTCTCCCTTTTTTTTTTTCAGATGTTAAGACTTACATTTAGTGTAGATTTCTTTGATACAAAACTGTCCATGTTTAGTTTTGCAGGTTCCTAAGTCTAAGAGACATCCATGGAAAGGGAGTGATAGGTTGCATTCTCTACAAATCACACTCATATCATCAACACCTCCAAGTATAGGGGAGAAAAGTAAAGGGAAAAAACAGATAGAGACTGAGTAATAAGAGAAAGAGAGAGAGAGAGATAAAAAAAAATGAAGCAGTTATTTTCAACCTTAAAAAACAATCATTTCAGATTAACTTTTTAAATAAATACAAATGAAATTATTTTAATTTTGAGAACTTAATGGGGGAAGTATCAAAGCATATATTACATTCATGAAATGGAAGCATCCTGAACTTATGCTAATCAGAAATGATACCAGGTGGTCTAAACCATTCAGTTACTTAGAATGTATTCAGTTTCTCAGTGCTTGATCAAATTAAACCAAAGTTTATTTAGCCAGAAAAATTTAGTTGGCTTCAATCATGTGACCTCTGTTAGGCCTGCATTTCAATGCCTAAGGCAGCACCTCACATAACGGTGGGCTGTCCGTGAATATTTTGGGTTTGATTAATGTTTCCATATTGATTATCTTTAATACTCAAATTCAGTGGTTCAAAATTGTTTTCAGAACTAACCCAGAGACTATGAACTGAGTTAACAGATGTAAGATTAAAAGATATCATCTAGAAGATTGTTTCTCAGATTTGAGTGTACATCAGATTTATTTGAGCAGTTAAAAATAAACACAGATTCCCATAGTCATGCACTCGTCTATTCTAAATGAAACATGTTTAAACATAGCTATGTGATTAGTGGATGGCTGCAGACAAGTTTTCTCAGTAACACACTTGTCTTAGTCTCATGAGGATGACTTAAAAAAAAAAAAAAATCCAGTTAAAACAATGATATCCAGGGGATCTGCTTGGCCAGTTAAATTGAAGACAGAGAAATTAACTCAAATTAAATTTTGAGTTAAATTCAAGACAGAGAAATTAAGTCAAAAGGTAATGGTGACTATTTTTTGGAATTTAAAAGGTGGAATATCAACACCCGCTCCACAGAAAACCTATAAAGAGTCACTATGAAAGGAGCTCTGGTAGCGTAGTGGTTAGGAATCAGGCTGCGAACCTCAAGGTCAGCAGTTCAAAACTACCAGCTGTTCTGTAGGAGAAAGATGAGGCTTTCTGCTCCCGTAAAGATTTACAGCCTTAGGGACCCTGTACAGGGTCACTATGAGTCATAACCGACTCTACTGCACATAGCCAACCAACCAGGAGTTGGAACCAACTCAACAGCAAATAACAACAAACAATAATCTCAAAGGACCCAGGACGATCTCAGGGGCTTATTAGGAAGAAGTTTTAAGAAAATTGTGTTAGCCAGACAAAGGTCAGGAAATTTGTGCCTCAATTTTTTTCCATCAGGACAATGTACCTTTGTCTCCTTTAGTAGGGTTATCCTAGGAGAATTTTGTTGGAAACTTTGTCCCATCGAACCTACAACTCTGATCTTGTCCATTCTGATTTCTTTTAGCTCGTCATACTCAAAGAACATTTCAAAGGAGCACAATTTGAATCCTTTGATTCCAAAACTGTGGTTTTGAAGCAGTATAAATCAAAGACTGCATAATTCTTCAGGGTAGAGGGTTAGAGAGATAGAAACACTGCCTTCAGAAGTATTTAGATCTAGATGGAGGAGATGCTGAGAAACTATAACTTGACATTTTGATAATTTTGTTTAATAAGGGTTTCTTTGATTTTGTAGCTATATTCTTTGCCTTACCCTATTGTTGTTAAGTACTGAGTTGGTACCCACTCATGGGGTCCCTATATAGGATTTCCAAGGATTAGCTGGAGGTTTTGAACTGCTGACTTTGCGGTTAGCAGTCTAGTGCTTATTCTACAGTGACACACCAGAACTTCATGTTTAAATAATTACATACCCAAGCCAAACCAAATCTGTTGCCATCAATTCAACTCCAAACAACGGCAATTTGTGTCAGAGAAGAACTTACTCCAGAGGGTTTTTTGTTTTTTTTTTTTTAATGTTTTATTGTGAATTATGTGATAGTTTACATGAGAGAACATTAGTTTTACATTTATTCTATTTTATATCATTTCACTGCCATGGTTACAATCCCCTCCATGCATCATCAACCAGTCAAAGGTTATACCCTGCAAGCCTGCCCCCCAGTCATCAGCACACAGCCCCTCTCCCTTTCTGGGTCTAAAGTCCCCAGCTGCTCCATCTCTCCATGTCATCATTCCAGAGGGTTTTTAATGGCTTATTTTTCATAAGTTCTGACTGAAGCCCCTGTAGAGCGAGTTGTTCTCGGACACAATTTGCCATGATTTGGAGTAGGCTTGATGGCAGCAGGTTTGGTTTGGGTATGTAATTATTTAACATGGAATCCTGGTCTGTCACTCTTGGATAAGCACTGGACAGCTAACCACAAGGTCAGTGGTTCAAACCCACCAGCTGCTCCTCAGAAACCCTATACAGGGTTGCTGTGAGTCTAAATGGACTCAACAATACTTAACAACAACAATATTATGGTATTGCTGCTCTTTCAAAAATTAACCACTCCTTACTTCAAGGGCAAATGGTTAAATGCTCAACAACTAACTAACTGAAACATTGGTGGTTTGAACTACCCAAAAGTTCCTCAGCAGACAAGCTAAGCTGTCTGTTTCCAAAACCTCACCATCTTCAAAGCACGATTGAGCAGTTCTACTGTGTCACCTGGGTGAATCAACTCATGGTACCTCACAACAGCAATGACATATCATGAGCATTTTTGAGCAGCAGAAGTAAGTTCCAACAACATTTCTCTTGGTGTTTGTTTTGCCTTGTTTTAACTCACAAAAGAATGCAATTCCTTGTGTGCCAAGCAAAATGAATGCAATTCCTTTCCTGAGTCATTTTTCCCCCCCCAAGATGTCCAAGACACTGAAGCTGTTCTCTTGTGATTTTTCACTTATTCTTGTGCTTACTTTCTTTATAGAAGAACACTTTGAGCACTTGATTGTAGTAGAGACCCAAGTAGAGCAGCTTGGGTATCTTGCTGCCCTCTTTGCACAGTGGTAATCAGAACTTTATTATGTGTGATACACAGTAATGAGAACCATGTAGGAAGCAGAGGACACAGACTGGTGGTTTGTGGGTCAGATCTGGTTTGCTTAACTTTCATGTTGTTGTTAAGTGATGCTGGGCTGATTCTGACTCATAGTAACCCGGTATAGGGTTTTCAAGGAGCAGCTGGTGGGTTTGAGCCACTAACCTTGTAGTTAAGTGTCTAGTGCTGATCCCACAGCACCACACCAGGACTCCTGACTTGCATAGACTTAACAAAAATGTATTGCTTGTCAATATATAAAAGTTGGGAATTCACATAAAAGCCTGGGCTTCTGGCTTCTCTTAAAGAATCACAAGTTGGTTGTGTTGGACTCTCCTTTTGTGCAGAGTTGGTTACTGGCTTCTCCCTTGTTACACAGTCTTCCTTTTGCTTTATAGCTGGCAGGCTTCCCTCATTTACATGTATAGCATCTTCCCAAACACTTTTGTGTGCTAGAGTTGGCAACCCGAATGATTGGTACCAAAAGTCTCCGCATCTCACCTTTTAGAATTTTACCTATCTTTGTGATGCCCTATAAATTCTTCCTTATTAAAGTGTGGTCTCCAGACCAATAGTATCAGCATCACTTGAAAGCTTGTTGGAAATACAGAATCTTAGGCCCTACCCCAGACTTTCTGCAATGCTCTTTTTTTTTTTGGTAAAAATAAAGATTATATAACCGATTCTATGGTGACACCAATTCAGCCATGATGTACAACCATCACCTATCTCCATTGCCAAATTTTCCACTATCTAGTTTTTATTTATATGGTGGATAACGTTGATCATTTTTCTAATGTTGAACCATCCTTGCATCC